TATTGTGTCCCAAAAAGTGTGACGGACAGACAGACGGACAGATAGACAGACGGACGAACCCATTTTAATAGTCCCCTGCTTTCTTCGAAAGGCGGGGGACAACAAAACACAACACAAGGTATATATGGATATAACTATTTCTCTTCTTGTGTATATATGGATATAACTACTTCCCTTTTATTTAATAATATAGAGAAGTAGTTATATCCATATAAAACTTATGTTGTGTTTTGTTATGGATAGTTAACTGTGTTTCTAGATGTCATTTAAAGAATTAATAATTATCTATATCGCTAAATTTTGAACAATAAATAAGAGATTGATGTTATATGAAAACCAATGTTTTTAAAGAAACAGGTTTCTTGTTTTTATGCACTATGTCTTAGACAATATCCATAGGATGAGGAATCTTTGTTATTACAGTCTGAATTCACTACCATAAACAACCAAGTACAATACGCAACCATGTATAAAATGCATGTCAGTTCAACTGTGTTTATTTCAAAACAGTGTCGATCTGCAATATTGAATAACTACGTTTAGATGGGACTGAAATGTGTGTTGTATCTGTCTGTAAATTTCCAGTAACTTACCTTGTATGACCTCAGTGCGATTTCTCGTATATTCATTTGGTGCGTTATTCAAAGTTTCTTCTACATCTCTACTATAGCCATTTTGATGATGTTTTTCAGCATAACGAGATTTATATGTGTCATCAACTGGTGTCTTTGTGTATAAAGAGTTAGAATATACCTGTTAAATTCAACAGAAGTTTACTTAATCACCCAGTGGCTACAGTATATTATTTCTTCATTAAATATGCTTTATACTTATTGCTGATAATTTTTAACAAATTATTATCATAAGGCAATCAAATTATTGTTGAGTTTTTCTGTTTATAAATATAACCATATTAAAAGACATAAAAAATAATACACAAATCAGTATGTATATTGATTATCCATTTGTTAATTGTGTCCATTGGTTAATGCAGCTAATGATTAAATTTGTCTATTGGTGTGTTAATGCAGCTAAAGATTACATTTCTCTAATAAACGGAACATTAACAATAAACATCAAATATTGGAACAAGCAGTTGCCATGCAAGATATGCCCACATTTTGCAAGAGATGGAAAGAAAACATTAAACAAGCTAAAAAAGAATGATTTTTCGTACAATCTGGGCCATATTCTAGGATGTTAAGGTCTATATTGAAAGGTAACAAGATCTTTTGGATATAAACCTATATTTAAAGTTTCGTCAAATTCGAATAAAAATTGTGACCTGTAGAGAGTCCACAAACAAAATGTGAACGGACAGGGGTGACGGCATAATACTTCCACATGAAAATGTGGGCGTATTAAAAATTGGGTGGTAGATCGCCTAATTGAATCCACAGTTCACCTATTTATAACTCCCTTGTAATTGCTTATCATTTGATGTTTTAGCACAGTTACGACCACCGTCTGTACTTTTTGAATAACTTCTTTTACAAAGTTTTCAAGTTTGTTTTGTTTTACCAGAAATATATTAGATTATATTCATGGTGACATTATTTTATATTCTTTCAAACCATATAAATGTTTTTAATCCTTGTATATTATATATATATAAAGTTATTTAACTTTATGATTTATGATGTTAAGAGTGTGCAGACGGACAGGAGCGACAACAATATATTTACCTTATATTTATATGGACAGTATCTATCGTCATGTAATAAACTGGATTCATGTGATCTATAATGTCCTTTATCTTCAACTAACTCAGATATTCTTTTGTTTTTTCTATTCAGCTCAGATGTCGTTATATCATTCGCTTCAGTTAAATTACGGTTAGCACTCTCTAATTCAGCTTAAAGAAAAAATAAATACATCATAAAAAATTTGACAGATGAAAAAAAAAGGATATAATTAATAAAACCATTGGTGCCAGGCAAGATACGCCCACATTTTGCAAAGCGATTCTTTATACAATCAGGGGCCATAATCCAGAAAGTTATTTTCTGAAATGCGCGAATATCGAAATGGACTGAGATATCTGAGATATAAAGATAAGTTTTAAGTTTCAACAAAATCGAATAAAAATTTTGACTTCTAGAGTGTCCACAACATGGTATTATACTTTTACACTATTTGCGTACAAGAAGCGGCCATTTTGTCCGGCAGTTTGGGTCAGATTTTTATGAAATTTAACTCAACCTTCATTGATGTGTAACGGGGATATATTTAAACGTTTTTGAAAAATGAATAAAAATTGTGACTTCTAGTGAGTCCACAAGCTAAAAATGAGATTTTCCGAACAAACAGGGGCCATAATCCAGGAAGTTAAGTTTCTATATGCGCGATTATCGAAAGGAACCAAGATCTTTCTGATAAAAACATAAATTTGAAGTTTCATCAGAATCGGATTAAAATTGTGGCCTCTAGAGGGTCAACAACCTTGATAAACCATATATTTACACTATTTGAGTTCGAGGAGGTGGCCATTTTGTCCGGCAGTTTTGGTCTGATTTTCATGAAATTCGAACTCAACCATCAGGAAACTACGATCCGATATGCGTGAATATCGAAAGAAACCAACATCTTTGGTTTATAAATATGTATTTCAAGTTTCATCAAAATCCAATCAAAATTGTGACCTCTAGAGGGTTCACAACCTTGTCCGGCAGTTTTCACGAAATTTGAACCCAACCATCATTACAGTGCAACGGTGATATATTTGAACGTTTTTTTAAATCGGATAATAATTGTGACCTCTAGATGGACCACAAGCTAAAAACGTGATTTTTTGTACAATCCAGGGTCATAATTCAGGAAGTTACGATCCGATATGCACAAATATCGACAGGCACCAAAAAAGATCTTTGGGTTATAACATGTATTTCAAGTTTCTTCAAAATCAGATGAAAATTGTGACCTCTAGAGTGTCCACAAGTTAAAAACGTAATTTTTCGTACAATCAAGGAACATAATCCATGAAGTTTCGATCCGATACATGCCAATATCTAAAGGAACCAAGATCTTTTGGAGATAAACCTATATTTCATGTTTCGTCAAATTGTGGAAGGACGGGGCGACGACAATAAACTATAATTTCAACAATACACTAAATGGTCATACTAGGGGCTAATTTAGCTGAGGCTATTCCACCTGCACTACCAATGTGTTCAAAATTGATACATCTGCATCTGAGAACCAGAATGGCCTACTGTTTATATACATGTAAGAATATTTAGCAACCTACCTATTCTTTTTAATAAATCATTTGTATTGGTATTATCATCTATATTTCTTTCACTCTTTTTTCTCAAATAATGTATTTCATCATTTAAACGGGAAACTTTTGATGCCATTATATCTTTTTCATTTTGTAGCTGTACAAATCTTCTTTCATACTGTAAATATATTATAATTTAAAATCACTCTTTAAAACTTTCATGTATTGGTAAAACTTTATTTCACTGTTATAGATTAATCCATACATGCATCATAATATAAGGTTGTAAATGTGAATATTATAACTAACAATAAACAGTCCTTTATTTTTACAATATATCAGTGCCTAAATCAGTAATTCAAGCCTTGTAAGCACCCATAATTTTTTAAAAATACAATAATGTATTTTCATAAATTAATAGACATTTTTCTAAGGACTAAAATCATTGCATTTACTTTTTGTTGGCTAATTTTATATATTTTTCAAAAACACACTTTCTTGTGTTTTTAGAAACTATTCATGGACCTGTTAATAATACAGAACAAGCCAAAGCCCAACAGTCAGGCTGATGTTCACCCTGCTCATTATTAAGCTTAGTCAAGGTAATGATGTAATGAAACTAAACATCCATTGTTATCACTCTTACTCAATTAGAATCAAAGTTACAGTGTTCCAAAACATTGCCCAATCAAAATTGCTTATATTTTCTTAGCCTACGCAGAAAATGCTCATCATCGAACGCAGTGAAGACATTCACGTAACGAACATATACACCAAGATTGAAATTCTTGTGTTCCAAAAGGTATGATGGACAGAAAGACAGACAGTTGCGTAGCATTAATCTCAGTCAAGACATTTACATTAAGAACATCTACATCAAGTTTGAACATTCTAACTCAATTAGAAACAGAGTTAATGAGTTCCAAAAAAAACAAACATACGACAGGGACATTTATTCTGGATATGATAGGAATTGTTATATTAAAAAAAACCTCTTACCTCTGCTGTTATTAATGTATTTGTTGATGGGGGACATACATGATTCTTAAAACGATCTACTTCATCTCTCAACGATCTGTTAATATCTCGTAAACTGGACAGTTGTCGGTGTAAATCACTTATTTCATCTTCTCTTGAACCTAATAATTTCTTTAATGATGCTATTGTGTCTTCATATTTTTTTCTTTCTTCCTGAAAGAACAATTTTATATATTAATATCATAATGCATGTGTCACTCTAACTGAACAGCCAAATAAGTATTTATCTAAATATGAATTTATCCCACATTTAAATTTAATTTGGGATATTGACCTCATTGTTATACATTCTACTTGTAATGGGGAGAGACAGAGAGACGCTAACAATGTCATTTTGGGACTAACATATGGTATATTTTAATTCAGTAATTTCCTTGACAAAGGGGGTCTTTAGCACTGGGAGGAAATTCAAAAATCTGGAGAAAAGTGTGAGATTGAAACCTCAATACTCGAATTAATAAACTAGGCATTATGATCAAGAACAAACCCTAAGACCACACAGCCTCCAAATCCCCCTTTGTACTAACTACTTGTTATGTAATTAATAACTGTAATCAGCTCCTTTTATTACAATTTAATTTAGTCAACACCAAGTTGAAGTTTTGTTGTTTGGGAACACATATCAAAGTTTTTCTTTTCATGTGTTGCGGGTGAAAAATAATTGAAAATCAAACAGTACTTGATTGCTTTCGTTAAAAGTGTTTTAGTTCCAAAATTTTAAACAAAATAGAGATATACTCCACTAACTATTGGCCATACTCACATCTGATAATCTGCTATCAATCACTGTTGTTCTTTGAGATATATAAGGACTGCGATACGGGGTGTAAGTTCTTTCACTGGTTTCTTTAGTTGTCTGTGTTTCAGGATAGTTAATCTCACCCAATTTACTATTACTACTTTTAGCTTTATCTGAAGTAGGTTCTTCATATTGAGGTTTTTCCAATGGCTTAGCACCAGAACCTGAGATCTCTATGTTTAAGTCTTTGTTGACCAGTTCTAATGGTGCTTCTCCTGTGGGTGAGCTCCGTTTCACTACTGTCGGTTCATGTTTTTGACTTTCTCTGTCATCTAAATTGTATTTATCATAGTTTCCCACTTGATTGCCGTATAATAATTTAAAAAGATTTCTTTGCTTAGGTGGCTGTAGAGGTTGTTGTAAAGATGCTGGTGGTTGATTATTTGCGTAAGTAGTGTAGATATTTTTTTCTGTAACTTTCCGATCTTTTACAAAGTCAGCTGGCAGTTCAGTAGTTTCTGATGTGGTTGTGTAATTTGTTTTGGTGATACCATCATCAATCTGAAAAGATTCATTTTCAGCTGCTTTTTTTCGATTAAAGTCTTTATATTTAGAAGTATACTGTTGACTTGGATCATTCATTTTTCCTTCCTCGCCGTTTGTTGTTTCATTTATTTCTATAGTTTTTACTTTTTGATTTTCAGATGAATCTTCTGTATCTTCAATACAATCTGTAAAATAATTGATCATTTTTTTGAGTAACATTTTATAACTTCTCTCCTGCAATACTAGTAAAGTCGTATTGTAATGGTATTTACATTCACATCTATAGGTTTGTAATCAAATGACAAAATGTGAAAATACATCCCAATTAATTTATCTAAAACCTAAAATCAAAATATTGAACCGTTCCGAAATGGTCACTAGATTTGTTTATGGAGTTATTACCTCATTATAAAGAAATTATTAAGGAGTGGCATGGCACAATCAATTACCACCATAACTTAGGCACTTATGTTTAAACCCAAATGGATTGGAAGTATGAAGTAGATGATCTCTGTGTGCAGAATGTCGGTGCGGGTTAATGAAAATTTTTTTTTTTGAAGTATTAGAAAAATAAATAAAGGTCTTATTATGTAAACAATGTACGGTCATAAAAGCCATTGATGATCAACGCCTGGTGATGTGATGTCACGTAGAAGGTATATGTAGTAGGGTGGTATATTCTCTTTAACTATTTTAGTAGGGTGTTATATTCTGTTTAAAGATTTTAGTCAGTTTCCATTGTCCTGTATTTCCAGTAGTTATAATTACTTTAGTTTATAGTTTAGAGATGCTATTGTAAGATAGTGAGTAAATTTAAGTGTCTTAGAAACCTGCTTTGTTTATCCTAGTTACTAACTTCACTCTTTTATTTTCTGGTCAACTATCAACATCTCTACTTAATTACAGCACAATTAATCATTTATTTCAAGGTAGGTTTAATATTTGTTTGACTGGACTAGACATTTTAAACTATATAAGTAATTCTAAACTAGTAAATTAATTATTAGCAAATTAATATATATATATATATATATATATATATATATAAACTAGGTAACTTTATATTTCATAAGTAAACATTGATTAAATATAGTATCCCCTGTGTAATGTCTTGTTTATTGTTTTATAGTGTTCCTAATTGTGTTGTCTATACAGTTTACAACTCTATGGTCACATTTATTTTCCTGGAAAACACCTGTCTTAGGGTATGTTAGTTTGATATCTATATTTATATCTTTGTCATAACGGATTAAATGTAAATAGATTGTTCTTGATATTTTAATACATATAATATAGTACTTACATTATAACTTGCCTCCTCATTTATTAGTAATTAATAGAATATATACATCATTTAATAATTCACTTGTGTAAATAATCATTTTGTATCTTTTCAATGTTTTTTTTTGTTGTTCTGTAAAGTATATATTATATTGTCCTGTAATAAACTGTTGTTGTTAACTGGTCTCAACTGTTATGTGCAACCGCGCCACCCCGACCTGGAGTCGATCATGCGATCCTCCTGCTACATAAACTTGAACTTATCAACTAATAACGCTCATTCGTCTAATACAGAGGTATAAGAAGGCTTTCACAATACCTCTGTATTGGTCTGGCACAGTACCCAAATCTGTTTCACAGAGAGGTATTGCGAAAAGGTTACCGAACATTCAGTGCTTATTATAGAAATCTGGTACCAGTGATACCTAAACTGATTCCTTCGCTAAAGAGCTAGTCTCGATTATCAGGAATTGTAATCAGGAATCACCGAATCACCCGACCCGAGTAACTCGCAGTCCACAATTAATGGATGCAGTCCACAATTAATTTCCATTTTCTTCAATGCTGATTCTCACACTGATCAGCAGGGAATTTTTGCTACGCCACTACAATCACTGATAAGGATGACATCGATGCGACTTAAAGAGTCCCAAATATTAACTTTTTTCTTCCGTCAAATTAAATTCTAAAACATTTTTTTCATTTATTAGAAAAATAAATAAAGACGTTTGAATTATTTGTAGGTAAAAATCATTTCCTATTTAGTGTGAGTCTCTGTGAAACAGATTGGCTGATTCTATCTCTTTCTTTTCCCCAAATTTCCGTTGGGCCGGACGCTTTTCACTACAGACAGAACTACATCTGGCTATGTCTTAGCCCCAAATATGTATGAGGTTATCACTCTGAGCGATGAATAGGATATTGACCAAAATCTGGCAGAAAATGTTAAATCAAACCATATTCTTCAATTCTAGACCAAAAATTCAACAGCAATGGTCATGCAATTACGGGGAGAAAATGGGGACTGACAGAGAGAATTGCTATATTTAGATGAACTAAAAATCTTAATTATTGTGGTCTGGAACCAGACTGAATATCAAGCCTCTGACAGATCCAGTGATGTTAGTAAGGGCGAGTGTAATGAGACCTACGTTCAGAGTTGAACTACGTACAGCTATGTCTGATAATGATATTATATGAGGTCGGTAATGGCAATTACCTATCGAGGTCGGGTCATTTGGAAGCACTCGAAGGATTAATGATTAAATGATAAGACCATTAGTATCCAGATCCCGTATTCCTTTCAATCAAAAGGTTTACATTTTTTTACCCACCGATTTCTCTATAACGTAGCCTAAAAACGAGCGTGTCTGAAATAATTATGAGACCAATCTGATTAAAATACAGATCTATATTTCGTTTCGTTTTTTTTATACTTTCGATGGCCTACACTATCTGACCGGTTGTAGCGATAGGTCGCGTCAGAGGTCATACGAGCGGCTTTTGACCCCATGGCGTCAGACATTTGATTAACTCATCAGCATTGATGTTACTAGTGGATTACCCACAGTTCCGTGCAAATCACGTCTAAAGCTCGTCGTAACAGACCGTATCATTGACTAATCACTCACACCATTCAGAACATGTCAATGATAACAAATCTTCCAGATTCTAGTGTAGCAAAGACAAGTAAAATGACATTTTGAACTACAAAAACGAAACGAAATAGGATCTGTGTTTTAATCAGACGAAATGAAATGAAATGAAATGGGGTTTAACGTCCTACTGTTCTGCTCCGAACTGGGCTAATGAAGACGGGCATATGCCATACAGTGTGCTATGAGGGAAATTTTGCAAGGACAGCGACACTACGGCCTACTCTTATATCGAATTCCAACTGTCAAGGGATTTTTTACGTTCACGCCAATGTGAACACGGGACCGCGGTTTTTGGCCCCATCCGAACGACTAGACAGCTGTCTTGTCAGGCCCTCCGTCGTGCATCACTGACAAGGGAGAACCACGCCGGAAAATCTGGATGAACTTTCTCGGCCAATGCAGGGATCGAACAACCGACCTCCAGGGTAGCGAGCCACCGTGATCCTCTAATTATGAGACGAAGCAGAGTGAAAACGTCGTTTTTTCTATTTCTTGTATGGATAGCTCTACCTACCATAAATAAATAATGTTTCTTATGCAAATTTTATTTTTTCGGATGTATATGTTTTAAACTAGCATTTCTTAATACGGTCAATTCTATGTCACATAATATTTGAATATTGGCGGTGTTAAAAAAATTAGGAGATTGAATAGGCCAATACCAATTATTTCTTCTTTTTTTTAGAAAGATAAGATATCAAACCGCGGGAATGGCCAAAGTTTAAATATTTGGCACATTAGAATTTATTATATCTTAATATCACCCCGGTTGAAGCGGACGTTAAATAAATCTATTTGCACATTTTGGTCTCAACAGTTCCAACTGACACATTCGGATTCTGTAGTGTAAAGTGAATTGTAATCCAGCGTCGGCGAACTCGCACGTCAAATATCTGTCATGTTTATATAAAAAAAAAAACAAAGCAAACTTTATATATATATATATTTTTACGTGATTTGTGAAAGAGTGCAAATTCGGGACAAACGTTTAAATCATTATAAGATAAGTTTGGAACTTTCATCAATCCATTGGTTGATGAAATATTTTTCGGTAACATTGAAATATTTTCTTCCAATGCAAATTCCCGTGCACCGCTCGAATCTGGGGTTAAACTGATTATCAAAAATGTCCTCAAACCGATTCAGGATGGAAATTGTGCGGTAAATTCATTCAGATGAGGTTTCGTTAATGGAGTTCACGTGTACTGGCGGGCATCAAATGAATATAATAATTATAATCAGGGTCGTGTACGGCGGCCAAATCATGCTCAGCCGCAGATTGAAAATAATTACCTTATAAATATTTGTTGAATGTTAATATTATAATTATATTCTAAAATATTAATATCTATAAACAAATACGAAGTATTAAATTGAGAAGCTCAAAATTCAAAATAGCTAAAGTGTGACTTACCTTCGTTAATGAATAGATCGATCTCAAAATTGAAATTTCGTACTTGGAATACTTCTAGTGGATACACTTTCCCATTAATTACAAATTCTCCACTATGATCTCCACATGGGATTACCTTTTCACTGGAGAAATAGGCACACTGTGTTGGAACCCATTTTAATATAATTGCGTCTTGCTACAACAGAAAGAACGTATTGTGTGAAAGGTGGGCGTTGTCGTTTAATCAGATAATAACCTTGGTTATAATGTGTCTTAATCATTCGATTTCTCTAACACAGGTCCGTTCAAAGCTTCATTTTCTATCTATTGTTAAACTTGGATTAATCCATTTTTACTATAAAGCTGACAAAATGGATTAGCTGATTAACTGATTAAGAAGCCTGGTCGTCATGTCAGCAAATTAACGGTGTTTCCAAATTGCTTTAAAATCATTTTAAGATACAAAGTTTCAAGTTTTTATTACCCTTGAGTTGGGATTCAGGATAATTGGGTAATCAAAGTTTAACTGTTCAGGTTCAAAGCTAATTAGCTCGAGTTTTAACATTTTGTTGAAGATTTGAACCGCAGAGAAAGGGTATAAAACTTGAGGGGTTTTTTGATAGCAACCCATTGTTTACAGCAGTCGCCCCAGTCATACTTTAGTGAATAAAACTGGTTATTTTGTGTGAAAGCCTCTTAGAAAACTTTATCTTATAGTTATGAGCAACTGTTCGAAGCTCTTTGATTCAAACTTTCAATTTATAGATTTATAAAGTTGGCCACGAATCCCCAAATTTCAGTGGATAACCATGTCCGTATACTTTATCCGATTGCAGTTAAGTGATCGTCGCAATTATCCAGACACCCATATAATTCGACAGTGAAATTGCCCAAACCAAACGACTCAACATTTTGCGTTAAAGATTTCAGATGTTAATTGCTAATTTAAGTAGGCCTATTGGGATATAACTAATCAGTTTTAAATACCCCCCCCCCTCTCTCTCTCTCTCACTCACACACACACACACACACACACGTTGATGTTAACAAAAATAATGCCCTTTGCCCTCTTTCTCCCCGGTCACAAAACTGTCATTTTAAGTCCTAAATTAATTGTAATGTAGGATTAAATCTGCTTATACTTACCGTTTTGTAAGATGGGTACAACTTAACATCTGTATTATTCGTATCAAATATTTTAGACCACCTAAATTTGGCATTGGTGACGCCAGTTAATGCCATTTCTTTGGAAGACAGAATTTTTGCTTGGGAGCTTCCTGATAAAATATATAATAGGAAATATATAGAATAAACTCTTACATGTTCCAAGACTTTAACTTTGGTAACCCGAGTTAAATGACAGACCTCGTCGATTTGTGTAATAAACATGAAGACAGAGATAAAGTTGAGATAAAATTGATTTAATTTTCAACAATCAGCAGTTTAAGATAAAACGGAACTAAATATGTTACATATTTCGAAACGAAAATTTAATCAAGTCTGTTGCAATCATTAAACTTATTTAAGCTGACGACAACTACATTTTACGGCTGTATATAACCCAAGATTTTGATTCAAATTAAATTATAAAAGTATAATAGGAGAAGCGTAATCAAACTGCTAATTTCATATCTGCATCTGGAATAATGACCAAAGGGACACTCATACCAATTTTAGTGCTTGCATCCAGAAAGGATTTCGCCTGGGAAATGAAGAACCTATATTATGTATTCATTGGTGTCTGTTGTATAAAATTTAGAAGTTTCTTTCAGATCATTGATTAATCCGATCAACAACGGTTAATATAATCCCCACCCCTCCCCAGACCATAGTCACGGTGGCTAAGTACGACGCTGGCTCGCTAGCCTGGAGGTCGGGTACGTGTTCGATCCCTGCATTAGCCGAGAAAGTTCATCCCGATTTTCGGGCGTGATTCCCCCTTGTCAGTGATGCAGGACGGAGAGCCTGACAAGGACAGCTGTCTAGTCCTTCCGATGATACGAAAAACCGAGGTCCCGTGTATACATTGGCATGCGCGTAAAAGATCCCTTGGCAGTTGGAATTCGATATAAGAGTAGGCGACAGTGCCGCTGCCCGGGCAAAATTTCCGTCATAGCTGTATGGCGTATGCCCGTCTTCATTAGCCCAGTATATAGGAGCAGAAAAGTAGGATGTTAAACCCCATTTCATTTCATTTCTATCTGTATCACACATTCTGTTTACAAAATGGGTCCTTAATCGGATTAAAACTAATTAACTCTACATAATTTGATTCTCATTTTCATAAATATTGATGTATCAAGTGAAAATGCTTGAAAAGTGTGTCAGGCTTGGTGTTAAGAAAGAAGTCTATCTGATTTTTCTTCAATAATCAATATAAAATCAATCTCCGCTGGGAATTTACACCTATACAGATAGAAATAATATATGTAATTATATAATGATTAATTAATTAAAAACTAATTTCAATAGTAGAGGTGACAGCTGCTGTGGGTATATCGTGATAAATGAATAAACAATTGTAAATAAAAGTGTTATTATGGATTTTTTTTTAATTTTACTTTAACTAGGTCATTATGTTTCAGGCGTTTTTTCGATTTCGTTTATCATACCATGGCACTGTCATCTACATGTTTGGTTCTACCCTAAAATTGTTTAATATATTTTTAGCCGAATAGCAACACGCATTAACCCAACATATACAAGAAAGGGTATAACTATGCTTAAAGTGTCTCTTGTCAGTGGTGCAGGGCGGGAAGCCTGGCAAGGAACACTGTTTAGCCATTCGAATGGTACGAAAACCCAGTGGCGGATTAAGCTCCACCAAGGCCTGAGGCGGCAGTTGCTGGAGGGCCTATTTAGTTTTTAAAGTTAGAGCCAAGGTAGTTGCTAACATTAAAAACGGGATTCGTTACTGAGGTTATAATATTATTATTAGTTATAACTATTGAAATTTGTCGTACAAAATGCTTTGACAGCAGAAACGTCACCGGAAACCAACTGTACATACACCTATTTTCAAGGATAATATTTCCTCATGATGGGGTGTTTACATCGAAACTAGCGCAAGATCTTTTGCTAGATATTTTTTCTTAAGTTAAAGGGGGGTTGGATGGCTGAATGGTTAGCGTGCGCGCGCTGTATCATAAAGCCTGTCATTGAGTGGACTGGCGTGGTTTCGAATCCCCGGTTGTACGTGACAAGGAGTAGGGTCGTCTGTCCAACCTCGTGGGTTTTCTCCGGGTCCTCCGGTTTCCTCCCACTGCTAAAGACCCCTACGCGCAAGCGAATTATTGAAATAAAATTAAAACCATGTTAGTCCCGAAATGACCTAGTTTGTGTCGAGTGGACGTTAAACCCCATTTCTCTCTCTCTCTCTCTTAAGCCAAAGTCGTTTGATATTGGTAATGTAACTTTATATGCCCATAAATGACGTCACGTGGATACAATATATTAAGCAAGACATAACCGAAAACTTACAAGGATTTAACGTACATTGTAGGCCTACGTTTAAAAAATAAGATCAGATCTCCAAACAATAGGGCCTAATTAATTTCGGGTGAGGGCCTTTGTTGATTCCCGTTGGGCCTAAACCCAACATTCATTGTCTATGCGTTTTTAATCGTATCAAACAAGTCTAAAAAAATTTTTTTTACAAAATCTTTGGGCCTGAGGCTGCAGCCTCATCAGCCTCACTGATAATCCGCTATTGCGAAAACCGATGTCCCGTGTACACGTCGGCGTGCAAGTAAAAGAGCCTTGGCAGTTAAGATTCGAAATAAGAGTATACATTTCATTACAAAAAGTGAATATAGGTCACAGGTACACGATATTATCAACCCCACATCTCTATATACAAATGTACACAGTAATAAAATGGTTTCACGTTTAAATTAATATTCACTATATGAAGCGTTCACATGACTCACACACTTTTGTTGTCCTTTGGCCTAAGAATCCATATCTGATATAATATTCCACACTTCTAAGTTTGTGTTAATTAAAATACGTTTCTCATGCTTTAAGAATCTTGGACAATAACCCCATCAGTGTCGTCTTATAAAGTAGGCCCACTGTTGAAAAATAAAATGAGGTTTGTGAGGACATGATTGAAAGGAAATATTTTTATAATAGGCCTAAATCTACAAGGTTATTTATTACCAATTTTTGCGCCGTCTCCATTGAAGCGAAAAGTATGTTAACTTATGCAGTGGGAAATGAATACCAGTTTTGTAATGCACGTATAGTAGTATATCTAGACTGTCACTAGAACCGCTAAATTTGTCGCATTTATTTACAAGGTATTTTGTCTTAGTCTTCGAGTTAAATCTTCTAAACACGAAGTATTAAAGTAGCCAAGTCTCTAACATATCATCCAAAGTCTTCGACATTGAAAACACGAATTATTTATCAAATTAAATCAACATTGATGTTGTGATTTTACCGGGAAAAGATGGGCTTCTGATATCCAATATTTAAGACAAAATAACGGTACATGAATCGTTTCAGAGCCATTTGTAACAAGGGACTAGACGTATTTCACAAGTCATGTCAGAAGGTGATGCCATATTCTGCGCAATAAATACTATCGTTGTAGACTGAAATAACCAGGCGCTAGAGATTGCCATTCCATTGAGACTTCTGGCGTATTTCACCGAACATAACTGATTTGAAATTAGAGTAAAAACGGAAACGATTAAATGTAAATCAGTTTTTATACATACATATTACATTATTACATATGTATATGTGTTGCGACCCATTTGTGTCAATTTCTTGGTCCCACATATTAGCGATTTAGTCCATTTAAATATATATAGAGCTTACAATATGGCTGTAGGAGCTTACAACATGACTGTAGAGGTTACAATATTATTATAGAGAATACAATATGGCTGTAAAGATTACAATATGAAATGAAATGGGGTTTAACGGCCTACTGTTCTGCAGCGACTGGGCTAATGTAGACGGACATACGCCGTATACAATGCGCTATGAGGCAAATTTTCCCCGGACAGCGGCACTTACGACCTAAACTCTTAATATGAATTACAACTGTCAAGGGTTCTTTAACGTGCACGCCATTTTGTACACGGGACCTCGGCTTTTCGACCCAACTTCTCTCCATCCTGCACCACTGAAAAGGGGGGGGGGGCACACCGGAAAATTATTACAGTATGGCTGTGGGACTTACAATATGACTGTAGACATTACAATATGACTGAAGAGTTTACAATATGACCGTAGAGCTTACGACGTGGCTGAAGAGATTACAATACCAACGTAGAGCTTACTATATGGCTGTAGAGATAACAATATGGCTGAAGATTACAATATAGCTGGACCTTTACCAGTACATGTACGATATATTACAGCCTCTGCCCCCCCCCCCCCCGAAATTTTAATAAAATGACCCAAATAAAAAAAAATACAAGTTAAGCCTCAAATGAACTTTTAATAACATGGCTGCTAAGTAATAGTAAAAAGCACTTTATAGAGATATAATGTTAACGAACAAGTTATAACACGTTACTCTACTATAATATAATACTGAGTCAGTGAAAACCTATATTTACCGTGTTATTAAACTATCTGACGAACTTAATCCTAATAATCTGTATCTATATTAATCAACCCATCTGCATTTATGTTATCTTCGTCGAAATAGTCATAAATTCTTTAAAATATACCTATCGACGATCCGCATAACTGTTTCAACAAATGTTTGACAAGCCTTATAGGTATCGATACATTTCATAGAACACGCAAGTATAATTTGTTTACGAGTGGTCTATTCCTATACAGTAATTGTTACAAAGGAGAAACTTGTATGAATGGTATTTTCTTATTGATTGGGGACATTGTTATATCGACTGGGTATTTTATTGTTAATAAACGTTTCTGATAGCCTGACTATTTATATGATATAGGCCTAACCGTGGGACAACAATATATACCATCATCGCGTGGGCAAACTCACATCAGGCCTCATATTCAATAAAATACCGTAAAAGTATGTAACTACTAGAGGGTGCAGTTTCACCTTAAATTTAAGGTATTCCCTTTACGTTAAGGTGACCGGTATTTGATTAAAAATTTTAGGGAGAAAACCTCAACCTTAAAGGGACTTCCTTGAAAAGGTATTCAGTTGATAAATTGGGTTGAAAATCAACCTGTACTTTATTTTAAGTAGAAATATCTTGCTTTTACAATCCGTCCATAAATCGTACCTCGGGCTATAAAGCTGTTAGCTTTTCAAAAATACACTCTACATTTTGAGCAACTTCTATTAAAATTCCCGAAGCGTTGGCAGAGAATATTATAACGAATGCTTGTTAGTTTAATACTTGCTGTAAACCCTTGGCATTTGGAACTCAGGGAAAAGTAAGCCTGTCTTTATTAGCCCAGTCAGTGCAGAAAAATAGAATGTTAAATACAGGTACTCTTCACCGAATTACAAATGTCAAAGCTTCTTTTTCATGCACATATCATAGGCGTACGAGCTGGGGGGGGGGGGAGCGGCCGACCCCCATTTTGGGCACTAAATGCTGGGAAAATTTGGGAACACAATTGTATTTTGTAAAAGTTGTATAAAAAAAGATATTGTGTTCTTGAATGTGTCCAATTTAACAGCGAATTTATTATTATTATGTAACATACTAAGAACCTAACTACATTTTTTGGCCACCAACCACCACCGCCCCCCCCCCCCCCCCCAGTCAAAAATTTCCCCGTACCCCTGTGTTCATGCACACCATTTCCGGTTCTACATCATAGACGCCGTATCTTGCCAGCCCTCCCCTACCCACCCCCGGTATGCACCACTGAAACCAGACTGAAAATCTACAGGATCTTCTCGGTCAACACCGGGATCGAACCCCAGAACACCCTACAGTCAAATAGTCAAACACCGAATCTAATGAGTCACTGTGAAAAGGGGAGGAAAGAATAGGGCAGGCGGAGCACCCGCTACACTCTCAATTGGGTACGTCTCAGTTTTAGTATCAACACCCGCCTTGTAATTGACTTTGAAATTAATAAATAAGAATTGACTTGTATTAAAGACTATAATGTTAGACAGCATTGTTATGACAGCAACTGACACTTTTCAGTATTTACACAATGAATATGTGTCAAGCCTGTTTTCATTTAATCTTAGTCACTTGACATTGCTGTAATTAATTATACACCGTCATATTATATCGTTGTATTTAGTATATTTCTATATACACTTTGAATACATGGCATAGTAGGTTATTTCTAATTCTGTTATAACGATATATAACCAACCCTATATATAACGCTATATAACCAAACCGTAATAGGCCTACACGTGTATCTTACCTTCTATGGGGTCAACAGAACTACCTTCCATATCGCCTTTTTCACTCAAATAATACAATTTCAAATGACCTTTTACTATTCAATTACCAGTTGACAATACACAATTCAGAACCATTCATGTAGACGCTACTCTTTTTCATAACTTATTCATGGTTTTCCAGTGTGAAGACAACACACTATTCGCCATTACAATAAGACCAATAAATATATGTAACACAGGACTTGTTTAAACACGTGTGGACTTTTAAAATTGTTCGCCGTGTAGTATTTTCGGGGCGACGGGGTCTGAGAAAGTCGCCCCCGGAATGTGGGGATGTAATTGTGAATAGGCGCAGATGTGAATACCAGTTCATTTGAATTCTGAAAAAAGGCATGATTATTAAAATAAGTAGGCCTTCCTCTATTTTCAGATTTATATTTCAGCTCAAATACAAAATATAAGATTGATATTATGCTTGTTAAAACATCTATTCGGTACAATAAATGAATATATTTAATTTCTTCTTCCTTGTGGGTTAAACGAACGAAAAGAAAATTCTGACCAGAGATGTAAGATTAGAGTCGTAAATCATGAATATTCAATCAAAGCCAGTATCTGCATTATATGTATGGAAATATTTTCTTCCCGCCTTCTCTTCTTGTCCGACGATGAAAAAGGGGTTATCGAACAAGCAGCAAAACAGTATTTCACGAATTATCTCCCTCTAAATCTACATTTGCGTTCACGGGGACATAGAATAGAGATGCTAGCACAATTGTGAGCCCGGAACCTCACGGTCGGGACTGGCAGAATTACCATCGGGTGGGAGGAAGTAAGTCCTTACACATTTCTTTTAATCCCATAGAGGTGGTGTGATTAGGATCGTGACGTAATTAGACATAGCGAATTTGTTGCTTGAGATATTTCCTTATACTTAACTCGTGGGGAGTAGCCCGTCCCCCCCCCCTCTTTCATTCGATTCTCATTATTTTGGGGATCTAGAGAATTGAATCGTGGAGCTTTCAATCGAAGACCCCCCCCCCCCCAAGAAACTTTTAAATGGCTTTGAAAAATATTTGTCGCCACTTAATGTCAATCCCTGAGTATTGCAGAGGATACAAAATATATTACGGTGCCACCAAACGGCTGCCCGCCCTGGGACGCAGTTCTCAGAGAGGCACGGTAGGCCTATAAATCTTTGAGTTACAGTTTTATACGATTTTTGGTGAGAAAAATAATCAAAGATGTGTGTGTTACTTATTGCCGCAAATTAAAAAACATTTAGCAGTTGTTTCTGCCACTGGTTCTCTATTGCATTCACAAAGATTTCGGTTAAAGGGGCATAATGCTGGAACGAAAAGTCGCGGAACGCTAATTATCGATAAGGCTTATCCTCTCATGACCCAAATGCTTCGTACGTCATTTGAATAAAAAAAACCTTCAAAAGTAGCCTTCCTAATTTTAAGGTTTTCGGAAAAGGGTGCAAGCCCAATGCACCAAAATGAAACTCATTCGAGATGTTTTGGTCCATAATACATATTCTAAGTATCATCGGTCGAAAATGGTGGCCTAGATTGTCAACAAGATTCTAAAAAGTGATCTAAGGGCAATAGCCCAGACTTCTTTCATTTAAATCGAAACTATGCGCAGTATTAAGTAGATTGGACTATTAGTTTGGCAACAAGAAAGCATTTAAATAATGCTGAAGACCGATCGGCAGATAACCAAAATAAACGCCCACAGCATCACAGTTAATTGTCCGTGATGATTGTAATACTTTCTAGTATTAAAGGATAACTATGGTGGCTGATTGGTATCATGTCGTAATGTCGTGATGTCGCCTTTCATAACGCGACAACCCGACATCACGACATTTCTACCCGACAACACGACAACCCGACATCACGATATTTTTACCCGACATCACGACATTTTTACCCGACATTACGACACTAAAAATGTCGTGATGTGTAAAAATTTCGTGATGCCGGGTAAAAATGTCGTGGTGTCGGGTTGTCGGGTTGTCGCGATGTCGGGTTGTCGAGTTGTCGACTTCCATGATCAATGTTATAAGCGGCCACGATGATATTCATAACAAAAAACTGGCAATTAAGAAAATGGTTGATCAAGTGGAAGTAGATTCACACTCACCATAGGCGTACGAGGCGGGGGGGGGGGGGGAGGGCACCGCTCCCCCCCCCCCCCCAAATATTTTCATGAAAAAAAATAGAAATCTGAAAAGAGCTCAGAATTGTGAGATCTTGTGAGATCGGTCATTAGCCGAGGAATTGTTGAAAATGGGGTGGGGGTAGGGGTATGGCCTTGTCGGGGAAGGCTATGGTCTTGTCGGGAATGAATGCTCAGTTTGTCGGGAAGCGTCGCGCCGTCTGTCGGGTTTTGAATATTTTTAATAATATGGAAGCGGAAAGAAAGCAGTCCAGTCAATGATGAACACGTACGCCATTTGAATAGAACTAGCACGTACACATGGCCTTTCTCAGTTCTTGACTGTGTTCCTTTATACTGGCATCCAAGTCCATGCACCGGACGAGCCCAGTGATAGAAGTGATCTGAAAAGCAGTATAAACTCTCTGTTTATGCCTTCCCTGATAAAAAAAATGTGAAGTCTCATAAAAAGAAAAATGTGGCAAAAGTAAATCGTTCGACTTTTTCTTTGTTTTCGTAGTAATAGAGCTTGTATTTTAAAGATGACTTTTACCAGTTTTTATGCTGCAACTGACATAATTTACTACCCACTCCAAATTACTAGAAAGTATTCGAAATGCCTGGAAATCGCGTCTACGGCCGTCTGGTTTTCAAAATTTTATGGCCTCCCAAACAAGTTCGGCCACGTACGCCTATGACACTCACAGTGCAGTTTGAGTTGCATTCGTATCCATTTGTATACGTCCACATTCATAACGTGAACCGTCTTCATTAGCTCAGTCGGAGCAGAACAGTAGGACGTTAAACCCCATTTCATTTCATAATGTGAACATATTATGAAGCCGGCCTTGTCTGTGTGTCTGTCATTGAGTCAAGTGGTGTGGTTTCCAGCCCAAGCTTGTACATGACAAAGAGTAGGGTCGTCTGTCTAACCTCGTGGGTTTTCCCCGGGTCCCCCGGTTTCCTCCGACTGCTGAAGATCCCTACGCGCGATCGAATTATTGAAATAAAATTGAACCATATGTTAGTCCCGAAATGACCTAGTTTGTGTCGAGTGGACGTTAAACCCCCCTCTCTCTCTCTCTCTCTCTCATGATCAAACTCAGAATTAGCTAGAATCAAGGTTATTGTGTCCCAAAACATCGACCAATCAAATTGCTTATCTCTGCTTAGCCTTAGGAAAATCATAAATAAACAAGATTATGAACATGTTAACGATTGTATACAGAGTCAGTTAAAAGCCTGATTAAATAAATGTGTTTTAAGTTGTTTTTTAAACGAATATAGAGATGTACAACATGGTCAAGATATAACGCGACAACCCACGACATTTTTACCCGACATTACGACATGGTAGCGAAATGTTTGATTGACAGGCGTTAACTCTACCTACATATCTCGATTATCAGGTTAAGTTTTCAATGGCATACGGAAACGCTTCACAGCGGCCTCGCTAAGTACACTCTATCATTTAGCCTCGATCTAACTGACGTATTTTCATCAGGTTACCCCTTAATTATCTGATTTAATCGATTAGTGAAATCCTATTTAAATCCGAGCTGTAGCCGAGCCATCCGTGGGTCTACAGAGTTGATTTTGGTCTTGTTGTTTAAATAAAGATCTAATTTATAATCTGAAGCCTAAATTAAGACTTGCAATAATCAGATTTAGCTCTTGCATAATGCATGTTTAAGATTACGTTTCAGGAACCCTAAAACTCTTGAGGCTTTTGTGGTTATGTTGTCTATATGTAAGTTATATTTCAGTTTTTCATGGAGTTCTACTCCTAGATATGGATGGTTTTTGACGACATTCAACGATATTCCTTCCATTTTGTAATCAAAATGGGAAACTTTTCTCTTTGTTGATATATTCATGACTGCACATTTGTTAATATTGAACTGCATCTACCAGGTGTTACTCCATTCTAGTAAGTGGTCGTCTGGAGATGCTATGGGGATATAAATTACACAGTCATCCGCAAATAGGCGTATTGTAGAGGAGGATATATTAGACGCAAAGTCATTTATAAACAGTAAAAATAGCGTGGGCTCGAGCACTGTGCCTTGTGGGACGCCAGATGTGACATGGGATAGGTTGGATGTTTCGCCGTCTATCACCACTTGTTGTAGGCGTCCTCTGAGGAAGCTACTGAGGAAGCTATTGTTACGAATCCCGCAGTATGACATGTTCATCTGGAATGTTTGGTGGTAATAATTCTGCGTTATGAAAGTCGCTATCTGTGTGTGTCTCTGACCCTATAATTATGTCAGGTGCAAAGCTTGAAATGCTATTATAAAGATCTGTCCTTTTATTTCGAACACTTTGAAAGTTTATAATCAGAATTTTGAGATTAGTTTTGTCTGTATAACTGGAAGTGTTTGGAGGGGTTTCGCCGATAGATGTAACTGAGGCACGGTGGGAGCCTCCAAGATATGATGATCGTTGGTTCGCTTTCGAAACTGCCTGCGTGTGATGATGGTGTTTCGATCGTGATCTGAGAGATGTTTGGTATTCGGTCCTGTGTGATGTTACCGCGCTTCGGGGTAGATGCGTAGACGTTACTCAATGGGTTTGATGCTTCGTTCCTATCTTCTTGGGGGATCACGTGGCTAAGTGGGTAAGACGCCAGCTCGCTAGCCTGGAGGTCGGGTGTTCGATCCCCACATTGGCCGAGAAAGTTCATCCAGATTTTCCGGCGTGGTTCTCCCTTGTCAGTGATGCAGGACGGAGGGGCTGACAAGGAAAGCTGTCTAGTCGTTCGGATGGGACGAAAAACCGAGGTCCCGTGTACACATTGGCGTGCACGTAAAAAATCCCTTGGCAGTTGGAATTCGATACAAGAGTAGGCCGTAGTGCCGCTGTCCGGGCAACATTTCCCTAATAGCACACTGTATGGCGTATGCCCGTCTTCATTAGCCCAGGTTAGGAGCAGAACAGTAGGACGTTAAACCCCATTTCATTTCATTTCATTTCATTTCCTATCTTCTTTAGAATAG